GTCAACATGTAATACTTTAATGTTCTTGTGATGAGCAAATCCTTGTGGAAAATTCAAGCATGCTTCAATTCAGCCCATCGATTCAGGGCTCATACTCCTTTTCCGGAGGCCTGACATTCAATGGAGTGACCAGCGATCTTGACGCTTGCAACGCTTCATAAGCTGCGATCTTGGGTCTAATTTCCATATTCAGTAGATTTTCGTAGAGACGCTGCATCTGTTTACAGTTCTCTTTCGTTACTCCCGCCAGCGTTACAGTACCATCAAACTGAAAAAAATGTGCATTAGACGGGTTGTAAACAAACAAGAAAAAAATCTCAAAACTCACAGATTTCGCATTAGGATTCCATGTTAAAGCTTTATACGATGTCAAAAGGAACTGCTGGATGAGAAAATCTGCTACGGTCGCATCATCGGACGTACAGAATGGGTACAGTACCTTAACAAGAAATTCAATAAGTAACTAGAAGTGAATACTTTGCCATGAAATTTCAAATACACAGCGTAGTACTACCTGAGAGTTGAATCTTTCCCTTGGTCAAGGGGAACAGGTCTGCAACGGTGCAAGTGTACTACACTCGCCACTCTCCCCCCCCCCCATCCCGGAAGTGTGCGGCAATGAAGGTAGCGACCTGTGGTTGCTGGACGATTGTGTTGCCTCCGCACAGCGTTCGATGCGCCATACGAGCACCTCACACGCCGACATCATACGTACCCAAACGTCTCCGCCCTCTTTCGGTGAGCAGGCGTGGAAGAGACGTATGGGTAAGACAGTTCCTAGGCGTCCTTCCTTGTAGAAGTAGCCTGACCCTCAGTCGTTAAGACTGTCCTTCTTTCGTGGCTTCACAGAAAGTAATAAAGACACTGCAGCTCTCATAAACTGCAGTTCTGACGCCCCCTAGTCGATCCGCCCACTGGAACTCGAAGGCTGCTTTCCTCACCAGACCGCGTCACAGCAGTTGCAGTTTTTGTGCAGTTTTTTTTTGTTTTTTTTACTGCTAGATCCAGCAGTGGATGATGCAAAAAAAAACGATTAGCAAGCCAGAGGCGGAAGGATATCGCTTTTGCTGGCATAAAAAGAGCAGGTGCCCGAGAGAGCCGCGCATCTAGATAGGCTGCAGGCTCCTTACTCAGAGGAGCTCGACGTCGGTTTTTTTTTGGCATCTTCTGCCGTCCCTGCGGAGAGAATAGGTTTATTAGAACGCCACTACACACACTATACACTCGTGGGGTTTGCCCTTGAGACGCAGGTGAAAAAGAAGTAAGCGGCTTGTGATTGCTTGATGGTTTGAACGTACGGTCACGTCATACGTCGTATATGCGCTGAAGATCTCGACCCTTTTACCGAGATTCTTTCAGTAAGAGGGGCAGACGGGCACCGTGGCTGAGAATGAGTTTGGTGAAGCCTATCTTTCCGAGGTGATACCTAGTAGAGACATCAGAACCATTAAAGTCATCAGAAACCCCTTGCTTTCATGTCACAAGGGGCGGGATAGGTACACCTCAACGGCTGCCGACCTGCCCACCTATACACGGCGAGAATTCGGGTCGCCGGTGATCTAGCTAAATTTCCATGAACGAAAAGGAAATCCAGAAAAAACGACATACCACTTTCTTCAGACGATTACTTTCAAATGCTTCTCGCATTCCTGTTGCTACTCCGATTCTTACACGCTTGTCTGCTGTGTCATCTTTTTCACTTATAATATAAATAATATCTGAAAAATGTAAACATCCGTGTTGGAAGTGAAATGGCGAAAAGGAGCTTAATGTTGTCGACCTGGTTTATCTTCAGGAGTCGTCAAAATGCCATTTTTATACGATTTGAAAGCCCCGCTCCTATGCAATTCGACGCCGTAATCTTTTAGTACTTCCGCTGCAGTGCTAGAAAGGGGTTGGCCTGATGAAGACACATCCACAACGATCGCGTCATATCCATCTCGGTGAAGTATTTGTCGTACTGGTTCCTTGGATATGAGAATTTTCTCCATATATAACTTTGCTTCATCTGAAAACCATCAGAACGTTGTTTAGATGTATAGCTCATCACATACACTCCACATCTCGGATATGGAGAGGGCGTGGCCGCGTGTATCATTTGGAAAAGACGCGGGATGCTTTTTTCAAGTGGTACTTCCACTCAAGACAACTGTCATTCCGTGTTGTGGTGGACAAAGATATGATCGCAGTTGCCCTAAATGGCAATATCCCTCGAAAGCGCAGCAGTCGCCACCTTCAAATAAAGTACGCGGCCACACCCACTCCATCATCGAGGTATCGAGTGTAAGGTGAGATGTACGGTACGATTACCCGAAAGGTGGGTTATTTTGGATCCTTTCCATGTGCAAGGTGAGCATGTCCGTGTTAAAGAAGTGTAGCACCCTCGCATTGTAAAGCGCGCGGCAGTGAAGCTGAAGGCTTATGGAACGTTGTCGTTCCTACGTATGTTCCTTTTTGCCCTCGCTGGCTCACACACGTCCTACAGCCAGCTGCATTACGTCGGGCATTGCGGCTACAGTCAGTCTTACGACTGGCCGTATGGCGTACGGCGTTTTTATTGCGCTTCAAACGGCAGGTTGAGACTAAGACGACTTCAAGCTATCTCAAACTTCTGGCTTCACTGTCGCGCACTTCCCTTAGTACAACCTTCTCATGGGGAACTGTACCTCTCGAACAGAAGGTCCCCTTCAGGAAATAGTACCAAGGTTGTCTTCAAAATAATACACACTGTTGTGACCGTCTACAAAGTACGACTAGCTAAAGGTTGCGATAATAATCCAACTTACCGGCCTCCTTTTTCTGATCAAAGCGCACCTGCTGTTGCAATACACTCGAGACTGTAAAAGACAATACTACGTACTCAATAGTAGTTACATATCCAGAGTATATCCCAAGTAGTATTAATCAATCCTATCAGGACAGCTCAGCAAAGGGACACGCATCTTGACGCCCTTTTTGCAAGGCTGGATGGTGAAGCCTCATTTCACACAATGAATCTGTTTTTTCCACCACCACACTTGGTGGCGCCGCCAAAGCTCCATACAGTAACAACTTTTGATAGGTAGAAATACTTGTTTAGTGTGACCTCCCCTCTACTACCCCCTTACCCCTCCCCCCTCGTCCCACTCAAGGGCACAATGTTTGTTGGGGGAAGGTAGGAGCGGAAGACTAAGAGAAATGGTAGGTGTGGAAAAGGTAAGATGGCTCAAGGGGGTCATACCAGAGGAGGAATTGAGGGAGGGGAGGACTTCGCGAAAATTCTCTCAAGTGGCAGGGAGTGCCCTGACGGAAATAATAGCTTTACACACAGAGCCCTTTGCATGCCCCTTCCCTGAGTCAACTTGCACTACTCTTGAAAATATAAGAGGTAAGAGCATTTGTGGACTACTGCGGCTCAAATTGAAACCATACCATCACTACACCGTCTGGCGAACGCAGCCGACGACCGCTTCCTGTCCTTTGATGAGGTAGAAGATCGCTTGATAATACCACCAGGAGTCCTTCCAAGGAGATCCGCCGTTTCCAGATTGCTGTTCGAGCCGCGCACTAAAACATTTTATGCGCTTTGAAATAAATGGATACGGACCAGGTACGCATAGATTCAACGGTGTCCACTGCGTCCAATACACAAAATTTTAGGCTTCGGGCATCGAATTCAATGCGTGTTCGCAACCGGCAGAAGCCACAAGAAAAATTGACTGTGCTTGAAATAATTTCAGGAGAACTCAGTAAAGTGACATAGTGAAGAAGTGCCCTTTCTAGTATCCCCTTCTCTGAAAGAGGGCATGTTATATGAATCTGTCCCGCGTCGCAATAGTTTTGGGAGTGGCTTGCAACGCCGCGGCCCTACTGTACGAGCTGTATTGTCCCATAGCTTGTTCAGATTATCATAGGGATTCATCTCATTGCTACCCCCAAAACAGGCCTCGAACAAGTGCAAAGCGCTTGCTACAACGACAGCTCGGGCAAAAACAGTAGTGCCACGCTGCCGCCAACTCGCCGTGACGTCAACGGTTTGACCTCGTTAGCTCACGATGGAATCACCCGTCCCCATTGAAAGATTTAAGTGTAAAACAGTGGAGTGAAAAGTTTTACTCACAGCCCAGTCCTTTCCTCAGTGCAGATGAAACTTTCTTTTGAATGCTCGACGAGCTGATCGACGATCGACGCAAACTTCTGGTGCCCGAAGGTGTTCCATCTTCACTTGTAGCTGGAGTTCGTACAGATATAAGAAAGAAGTATATTCAGCCATAAGAGCCAGTGTTTAAAAAAGAGTGAAACTTCAAATATTATAGCATCATTGAAGGACAAATCCATATAATAACGAAATGAAGGATGACTTTTTCGCCTTACTTACTAAGCCTATTTCCCCTGAAAGTTCACTGAATATGATTTTACTCGCTGTTCCTCGATTTTCAGAAAATATCACCAAAATCGCTAACAAATCATGATAATCCACGTCATCAGAACTCAGCTAATAGAAGGATATAAGCATGGAGCAGTTACATAAATATAATATAGAGTCCTAGAAGGCGATACCACGTTCTAGACAGCACACTAATTCAAATAGAAACCAAGAAACTGAGAAAAAAAAATCAAAGCAACTGTGCATTACATATAAACACATATTTGGTGCCCTCACCCTGATTAAGGCATTCGGCCATTTTGCGCAATAACACCCGAGCCGTTTATAGTGCTTCGTTCGCAGATCAATGGTCGTGCCAAGAGAGGCAGCACCAACCGCCTCAGAGAATTGTGTGAAAGCTGGCAAGCACCACAATCTGACCGGGCAAAAAAATTGGGCTCGTACGCGGGCGAACCCTGCCGTTGAGAAGTTGGCACCTTTGCGCCGTTCCAGCCCAGAGAAGACCCTGGTAAGCGATGCACGTTTTGATGCTTCGTGTCTAGATGTTCTACACAGCTAGGCAACGCAGGCTTTCCCTACTTTTTCCGACACATCGTTAGCCTCTCCGTCTCAGCTGTCTGTATGCAGTTCCTTTTCAAAGGCCCCAACTCTCGCAACACAGACCAGTGGGACGGCATGGTTCCCGACAGGTCGAAGACTTGTTGAGACTGCGCGTGGCGATTTCCAACTACAGTAAGCCACATTTTCTATTAGTTCAAACGAAATTTTTGCGTATGAACCTCTCTGGAGTAGCGCCAAGTGATTAGCAAAAGAGATATCAGCACCAAAACAATCACAATTTCTTACAATAAATAATCACACCTATTGTACTGGTACAAAGCGGTGTAGTAGTAACATCGCCACGTTTTCTGGAACCAAATATCCTTGATTTGGATCGTAGCCACACGAGGCTCTACAAGAAAATAGTCGCGTTCTATGAGACTGAAGAAACTTAGAGAGCTTACAACTCACACTTCTTCGGCTAGATGCTTCAGCATCATCGACAGGAGTTTTAGTCTCTTCGAGTGTTTCACTGCACGTAGCAAAAGGTGCAACCTAATCATTACAATTCAGATGTATTCCTCAGAATGTGACCAATCAAGCGGCAAAAAATAAAGTAGTCTTAACCTCTTCTTCAGGTAGTTCTGCCATACTGGCGCTCATCATAAGCTTTTCTCGGAATCGCATAGAACGTCTACGATCAAAATGCTGTGGACTGGTAAGGCTATCCGAGACTGAGGAGTATGTCCGTCGTATGGCACTAAAATCAATCAGTCATAAACAAATGGTTCCCATGAGAGCGAGCAGTTTCTGTGCCCTGGTTATATGGTTAAATAGAAAAATGGGTGAAGATCTCGTCTCTTGATCCTTCCTTGTTCTACCACTGATCCTTGCCATGCTCATGCAAGGTAGGACAAGGGGACGAACAGGACAGAGCCAAGGAATGTCATCCCTGCACATTCCTCTTAGGCAGCGTTCAGACTTGTAGCGCTACGTAGCGCTACAGTTGTACCAAACTCCAGCTTCCTTTTATGTTTTTTCTTTCTGAATTCAACCCCTTTCTCTTTGTTTCTCATATTTATCTGATGCTGAGCTCCTGTTTTCTACTTTATCACATTTTAATGTAGTTTTTGATACAGAAGACTGTGATATTGGTTTTATATTATCGTTTTTGACTTTAATTATTTTTAGAGTTGCTAT